GCCTTTCATTGGAACCAACACAGAGACCTTCAGTTGAGGATGTGCTTTGGAACTTACAATTTGCTGCTCAAGTCCAAGAATCTTGGAGGGGAGACTCTCAAAGTAGTGAGGAATCATCACTTTCACCTTCCCAGCCGCCTCAATCACCAATCATACTGAATTAGGAACACGAAATATAACATGATAGTAAGTGAAAATCATGACATGAATTTTGTGACTGTTCAATTCAGTTAATTGTCATATGAAGTTGCTGCCTCTTTTATGTTGATGTATCATTTAACATGAACTTTGGAACTCTTTAAGTGTTTCCTCTCTTCCAAATAGACTAGTACGAAAGGCTCGTGTAATTTAAACCTGATGAGTACATGACCGTGATGCAATGTCCCCTAATTAAATCCCTCCCATACTGCACATTTGATAAAATTGTTGCTTTGTATGGTTTAAACTACAAGTGAAGTGAGAGAGCATATTCTTCCAGAGACTGACGCTCCCAAGTTTTGATATCACTCTGTTGCCTATATTTGCTTTGTTTTGCTTTGCACATACTTTAGTTATCTGTCGATCATAAAGTCTTCAATTGATCAAACAGACATGATGAATTTTCTGGGATCCAAAAGTTGTCATTTCGGTATTTGTCGTTCAGAAATTTCTTCACAACTTGCTGTGGTTAATGATTTGATAAATATTTTCTTTGTATAGGTTGATCGGCTTCTCATTCCCAAGCAGCTAGGATCAAGGATTGAAGCCTGTAAATGTGTTGGTCTTGACAAAACTGATGAGTGTTATGAAGATACCTATCCATCAATCACCATTAGATGGGGTCTTCAATATTTTTACTGTCTCAACCTGAAGTTCCAATCTAACTTCACCAGAGAAAGAAATCCTGCAAGATGAATATCAGATTTCATGTCTATCCTCAATTTGTACTTACCCTAGGAATATTCTTCTTCCTTTTCGACATGGCCCCATGTTATTATAAATTCAAACATGGGCAATGACTAAGAACATCCATGATGTCTTGCATGACTTTGCATTGGCAAGAGCTGTGTGCATTGGGTTGTCTTCTTATGATATCTTCTTCCTATGTGACATAGTATCTCAGATCTGGCTTCAGCATACATCACTCGGGTTGAAACAATTCATGCTTCTTGTTAAATTCTACCTGGATCTGGAATATCAAAAGGATGATAATAATGATGGTTCTTGCCATGGTCATCAAGCTTGGCCACATTATATGGGACAAGGATGAGAACAGATGAAATAATTGTGTCATGTTTGTTTCCAAGGTAGCTAATTGTGACCATAAATTGAAAGGTGTTTTTTGCCATCTGATTTTTCTGAGTAAAAATTTCTATAAGATTTTGAAGGACATAACACAGCCAGCTTTCCTGTGTGTTCTGTGAATGTTTTGGTTAGGTTTAGAATTGTCTCAAATCATATCTGCTAACATTTTTTTCTTCATTTCTCTAATCTCAAACAGGACAAATCAAACAACTATGGAAAATGGAGAATTCATGGCACTTCAATATTGAAGATTTGAGCCTAAAAAATTGGGATCAAATGATCTTTTTTTTTTGTCCTTTTTACTGTATTGAGTTGGATGAGAATGAACCTATCCCATACTATTATAGATTTCCATCATACTGGCACACTGGATATTTATTGAACCCTTATCTGGAAATCACAGCAACCAATGCTGTGGATGTGCCAAAGTGGAAATCACTTTCAGATCTCATGTTGAGATATTTCCTGATGCTCACATTTAGCTTGTCTACTACTGGAGCAAAAAGTTAGATGAGGAATCATTTCATGTCAAGCTGAATTGGAGAAAAGAACTCTTGCTAAAACTTTACCTCTGATCTTGAGAACATGCCCACTGCAAATTCATATGAAGAACTCTTTGGTAAGTGTTTTTTTTTTTTTTTTGAGATAAATTGTCCAAAATATATGAATGAAGAGATAATAAACTATCAAAAATAAAAGGGAAAAATCATTGGAACTGCACATCTGAACTGTGAAGTTCCAAGTGTTCTTCTTTGTGCTTTCAGAAGTCTGAAGAATTGGGATCTGTGGTTCATCCTCCTCCTCCATGAACACCAGAAGCTTCATCTCCATTGAAGGTCAGAAACAAAAGCGTTCACTCCACGTTTCCGGTCACATGAGAAACAGCAGCCACACAGCCCATTGATGAGCTGCCAATTGTCTTGAAGTGTGTGCGGAGAACACGGCTGCAAGTTGCAGTATCGATCAATCATGCTTGCGTTGCATGATTTCTCTGTTCTTTATATATTATAATGGATGCTGCTTGTGACATCAAGCATTATCTCCTTCATTCTTCGCATGCACATAATGCCAAAAGCCACCTCTCTCTCTCTCTCTCTCTCTCTCTCTCTCTAATCTCCATCATTCCATAATTAGGTAAAAATATCTAGATTTAAATGTTCCTTAAAATCAAATATGTTATGTGCGCAGGTGGCGAGTTCGTTGACCGAGAAGGTCAAATTTCAACTATCTCCACCAATTAAATTGCTTGACACGTGTTGATGTTAATGCTCTTAGAAATTTTAGTTGAAGTCTCGAGATAGATTCAGAAATCTTCTTCAGTGTCCTTCCCACACAAGTTTTTAACGTGGTAAGTTCGCATGTGGACTCACCCGCTTGGGGCTATCCTGAGGCAATTGGACTTGAGACCGGGACCCACGTGGTCTTCTAGTTATAATCCCTGGGTTCCTCATGGGGTAAACTGAAGGCGGGTAGAAGATGTACTTCCATCTCGTATCATCCAACCGGGCCATTTTCTTTTAACCGGTGGTGGGATCCTCTCCACTGACAATCACAGATCTGGCACCATTGAACGGTTAGATTTCGAGATATTTGTAGACCGACAGATTGAACGGTGTAGATGTGCGAATAGTTGGTTTTATTAAAAGTAGGATTGGAGAGGATCTCTCTCCTAATCATATTCTCTCATTCTGGTGTCGGCCCGTACGAAGAGGCTGTCTATCGACGAGTAAAAGGCCGGAGAGAGAGGCAGAGAGAGCGCCTCTTCATAGCACGAAGGAGGAGGGAAGGAGGAGGAGGAGGAATAGCGAATAAGAAAAGGGAGAAGAAGTCGTTTTCTTCTCCCACTTCTCCTCCTCTCTGCCCTCTCTCCTCTCTCCTCTCTGCAAAGAAGGGATAACTTTCCTATCTTTTCGAGGAATTCGACATCGAGCGAGCTCTGCCGCCTAATCTGCGGATAAATTTTGCATCTTTTCGGGGTTCGGTGCGTTATTTTCGGTGATGGGATTCGAAGGGGGGAGCGGGAAGGAGGGAGGGGGAGCTGGGGCGGGGTTCCGGTTCCTGACGAGGAGGAAGCAGGTGGATTCGGATCGGGTCAGGAACCGCGGAGGGTATTACCAGCTCGCCAAGGCGTTGTCAGTACCCGAGCTCGTTGCGATTGGTATCGTCGATTGCCTCGTAAATCGTAATTATTATCATCTTGTAGTTCTGAACCAAGATGTTATCCAGTCGTGTTGCCTTGTTTCCATTTTGCCCTGTCAATTAATTGACGATTGGATTAGAATTGATTCTTTAAGGAGGAAAGAAAAAAAAGGTGATTTCTACAGCAGTCAGTGCATTCGTAGAGACAGGCATTTTTCCCCTTGTGTGTGATTTCTGTCCTTTTTGTTCGCTCTTCGAGAAAGGGAATTGATTTTGCTAGGTTTTGGCACGGTGCACTGACTCTTTAGTAGTCTTATGCTTTCAGTATCAATTCCTATTCCTTTTGGTGCCAGTACTCATATAATCTGTTGTTCTGTATTTTTCGTTCTTGTCTTATTGGTTGTCCATCCATGAAGAGAGAATGAACATTCTTCCTCAGACTAATGAAGTCACATGAAGATCCCTATAATCGTCTTGAAATATTAGAACATTGAAGAATTTGATTTTGTTGTGACCACTGAGTGCTAGAAAATGATTATGCTCAGCTTTTAGTATTCCAAGGTTAGTAGTTTGTAACTTGCTTTCCATGCTTCCATGCTCGTGTAAAATTTTCAAGCCTGACTTTATAATGTTAGGCAATGTCTCTTAAAAAAATTCAGTTCCTGTGTTCCAGGTGTTGGTGCGACAATAGGTGCTGGAGTCTATGTTCTTGTTGGAACTGTTGCCAGAGAACATGCTGGACCAGCTTTGGCCATTTCTTTTCTGATAGCTGGGATAGCAGCTGCTCTTTCTGCTTTCTGCTATGCGGAGCTTGCGAGTCGCTGCCCTTCTGCAGGGAGTGCCTATCACTATTCATACATCTGTGTTGGGGAAGGGTAAATTTTTGAGTTTATAAAAGAATCAGCTTGCATTTTTTTTATCTACCATATTAGATAAGTCAATTAAAGATTAATCTCAAAAAGGCAAACTATATCTGATAATATTTACCTTCAGCAGTTCAGAGAGTGTAAAGTATACTAGTGACTGAAAACAAATATTGTTATGAATAGAATGATGGCATCAATTAATTGTGCCAGTACCAATAGGCTTCTGGGTATTCTGACTCTTTGTTAATCTTATTGTCAGTGTTGCTTGGTTGATTGGTTGGGCTCTTATTCTGGAATATACGATTGGTGGAGCAGCTGTTGCACGTGGCATATCCCCAAATTTGGTAAGTAAAACTTTATTATTTCACTCATCTTTCACTTAAGTCAATCCCTCACTTATATACAATAAGCACCATAATGTATTTATATTAGGCATGTTCATTATGACTCTGTAACGTATCACACTTGAGCTTGTATATCTGATGCACTCATGTCTTGGAACAATATTGGCATATTTTATATTCTGAAGCTAACACATTCTGATGCAAAGATGTTTGGAATGATACTAGCAATGATCAGCTGGTGTTAAAATGGCTAAATATTTTGTACTTGCACTCATCAGTGAGGATTCACTTCACAAAATTTGTTGTTCATTTCTTTCTTTTCTTTCAAATAACTGAAACCAAGATACTTGCAAAATCTACTTAGATATCTTATTCCCTGATAAGTTGCATTTCCTCTGGAATATCTTAATTCATGATGGATACAACAAAGTAATGTTCAGATAGTACAAGTATAACAAAGTAATAGTCGGAACAAGGTATGCAATTCCTCATATGGAATTCTTTCTAGAATTAGGGTTAGATGACATATTCAATCTTTCTTAATGGTCAACAATGTGTGCTGATTTTTGTAGGGATGAGAGGTAATGTTTGATTTTGGGAGTCCATTGGTTGCACCTTTTTCTTAACCTATTGCATATGTTTCTCAAGGAATGAACTGTTAATTAGAATCCTCACAACATTAGTGTAACACCATTGGTTGGTAATAGTGCAATTTTTCCATGTTTTGTTGTATGCATATACTGTTTAATTAGAATAATCACAACATTAGTGAAACACCATAATTGATTCAAGTTTTATGAGCAGTGAGAGTAAATTAACACTTGTTTTCTTGATGTGGTTTTTCTTAAAAATATTTTCAGGCCTTGTTTTTCGGAGGACAAGATAGTCTGCCTTCATTTTTAGCACGTGCTCACATTCCAGGCACTGATATTGTTGTTGATCCATGTGCTGCAGTTCTTGTTTTGATTGTTATTGGATTACTATGCTTGGGAATTAAGAAGGTATGCTACTTCCTGTTTTCTGGCCATCCCTGTTATCTAGTATGTTAGGATAATAACCTTGGGTGATTTGCCTCACAGAGCTCATTTGTACAAGCAATTGTCACAGCTGCAAATGTCTGTGTGTTGTTATTTGTCATTATTGCTGGTGGGTATATTGGCTTTCGGACTGGATGGGTTGGATATACTGTTAATGACGGGTAATCAGACTTAAACATCTCATGCAGGAATTTAGTTGATTCTTGTAACTCGTTCATTTTGTTTCTCAACTTCAGATATTTTCCTTATGGAGTAAATGGAGTGCTTGCTGGTTCAGCAACTGTCTTCTTTTCATACATAGGTTTTGATTCTGTTGCCAGCACTGCTGAGGAAGTAAGTTTTTTTTTTTTGCTTCTAGTGCTCATCAATGCACTAGGTGACTAGCTGTTGCTTAGATGAGATTTACATTATGATGTCCAAAAGTTCCTTTCGTGACTATATTCTATAAACTGAAAATGATAGAGTTATTATTTGGCTTCTCTCTTGATTAGTTTCTTTTCTTGTGCTAAGCATTTAAATTTTTGCAGGTTAAGAACCCTCGAAGAGATTTGCCATTGGGAATAGCAACTTCAGTGTCCATATGTTGCTTACTCTATATGATGGTTTCTGTTGTCATTGTTGGTTTGGTGCCATATTTTGCCATGGACCCCGACACCCCAATCGCATCTGTGTTTGCAAGGAATGATATGCAGTGGGCAGTGTATGTAGTAGTTGTATCTGCATTTCAATAATTCTATATGCAGTTATTCTGTACTAGAATCCTTGTTCCTTCTCTTAGGTCTTTGTATATCTTGAATACTAATAGGTATGTTATCACATCTGGTGCTGTTCTTGCACTTTGCTCAGCTTTGATGGGCTCGCTTCTCCCACAGGTATGAGTCAACTTCCCCTCTCCACTGTAACTATTATTTATGAGTGAATCTTCTTTAAACTTCTCTTCCTGTTGACCCATAGATCCAAAATGCTGAAACTTGAAAGCTTTTATTATGAGAATTACTAATCTATCTATTTTACCTATATCTTCGACTATTCATCAATTATTTGGTGAAAGTCATGTGGTTAGCCATAGAGCTGTAAACTATAGAATCATATAAAATAAGAATTGGTATAGAAAAGAAAACTTTCTGGAAATGCAACTGAGTATTATTATTGAAGCATGGAAATTTTCAAACAGTAATAGATTGCTTTGGGTGGGTAACTACTAATTTAGTAAAATTTATTAATTAAGAGAAAAACCTTTTGAGGAAGCAATACACCATTGTGTTTATATACAAGACTCAGGCATTTTCTGATATTCTTGAAACATATGGGATAGACTAACTGAAGGATATCTGTATATTCTTTTTATTCAAATATTGTTCTATCTAATTAGGATTTACTATGGAATGCAACCGAAAATTCAAGAAGGGTTTGAGGATCCAACAGATTGACACAACATTGTGATAAATGCCAACTGAAAAATCTTTATAGTCGGTACCTACTCTCCAGTCTGAATATGTTCAAGCAAGAAAGACTCTTTTGAATTAAGTTATTAAATGAGAATATTTCTGATACATTGATCTTGAGTCGGCAAGATCAACCACATGATTGTTTACCTGTTGGGTAATAGAAACTTAGAGAGAAGAAGACAATAAAAAGGTTTTGAAACACAATAAAATGAGTTTCAGACAGAAAGGAGTATCTATTCGATGTTGATATGGTCAAGTATATGTTTGAAGAAAAGTGAGTTGCTTGTCACGAGATTCACATGAGAGGAAGAACCTTGATTTGTCTATATAATTTTATTAGCTAATGGGTAAAATTTGAAAGTTTATTGCTATTCTCTTAAATAGCAAGAGTAGAGGACAGATTGTATCCATATAGAAAAATTTTAGAAATCAAGAGGTTTTAGAATAAACAGGAACAAATGGGAATACATGGAAGTATGATTATACCTTTAGTCAGTGTAAATTAAAACAATGAAGGTGTAGTTGAGAGAAATTTGCGTCAATATCACATTGATTCTTGCAGCTTTGTGACATACTGGATAAGTTGTCTTAATATCAGATTTGTTTAAAAATTCAAGTATAACTCAGTTCCTCAGCTATAAGTTGTCAGTTTTACAAGCTCATACACATATTTTTGAGTTTGCTGCTCTGCTTGTCTCATACAGATTCACTAACCTTTGAGATTATTTCATATGCCTATAGCTTATTTCAAGTCGAAGCAAATTTTGGGAAGTGACAAAATAGACGATAATGCAACCTACTGATGTTTGGATTTTTCTTGCTTCTTTTACCAGCCAAGAATACTGATGGCGATGGCTAGAGACGGCTTGTTGCCATCTTTCTTCTCAGATGTTAACAAGCGTACTCAAGTTCCGGTTAAGAGCACAATTCTAACTGGGATTTTTGCAGCTTCCCTAGCCTTCTTCATGGATGTATCACAACTGGCAGGAATGGTAAGATATTGCTTTAGGATTTATCATTTTCTTAACAAGTTTTAAGTTTTCACTCTGTAGTTGTATCTGAAGGATAAATGAAAAGAAACTGCGACAAGATGTATTATTTAAGGCATGAAGTCATGCAATTGACCATTCTGTATTGGACTGTTGTACTGTTTTATGTAGGTCAGTGTTGGCACACTTCTAGCATTCACCATCGTTGCAGTTTCAATCTTGATATTGAGATACGTTCCTCCGGATGAAGTACCTCTGCCGTCATCTCTTAGGGAATCAATTGATTCGGTTTCATTTCGCTATAGTGTTCGACAGAACAATGCAGAAAAGACAGATCCTATTGGAATTAAGAACAGTGACCAAAACCAACGTGATGTCTCATCTGAAGCAATAATTAAGGAATCAGCTGAGGATCCTCTCATGGTGAAGGACAATAATCAAGGTATTGATGGCTGTCAGTCACACTCTTCTGGGTTCTTGGTAATTTGAGATTTCCTGTGTAAACGTGATTCGCAGCTAGTTTCAGTTCCTTGTAATTATAGTTGTTGAACAGTCAAATACATGTATTTCCTTTCTAGTTGTTTTGGCGATCATTATTTTCTAGTGTTCATCTTATGAGTTAACTTTGCAGATGATTCCGATGAACAAACTCGGCGACGAAAAGCAGCTTGGAGCATAGCATCCATTTGTGTTGGAGTTCTCTTCCTCACAACATCAGCTTCTTACTCTTTCGTGCCTGTGTAAGTCTAGTTGACAACTGTATATATGTCCTGCCACTGATGCTGATGAAAATTTTCATCTGTCTCTCTAGGGTCTTATGATGAATTGTTTACTAAATAATTTACCAATTGCCTCGATGAACAATAACAAAATGTGCAAAATATACTAAACTCAGTTATTCATTTCTTAAAATATCTGCTCCATGGGTTATATGTTCTTGGCACCTAGTGATGTTTAGTTACAAGATAGAATAATGGTGCATTCGTAGACAAATACTTGGGGATGATTCCAAAACACCACGAATCCCGAGTGCAAGTTTTGATAGAAAAAGATGGAGGGTTGCATTAAGCTTGTCACGACTCAACCCGATGGGCTAATTAGCTTATGAACTTTGTTGGATCTGAGTCGCTGGCTCAAAATGCTTAAGTTAAAGTTATATTAGTGGATCCATTGGACCCTTGTAAGTCAATCCAATTTTTAACCCACTTTCGATGTGAGACTAAATATGGGGTATTACAATCTTTTTCATTTATGGATTTGACGTCCTCATTAAGGTGGCTCATCTAAGACTTAACCCAATGGTGCATATGAGACTTAACCCAATGGTGACTCCGTGCTATTTTGTGCCCTCTAGCATTGTCCACAAATATCCCCTTCCCTACTCGAGTCTCTCATCATGTCTTAGTATTAGTTCGGTTCTAATACCAATGTCACGACCCGACTTGATGGATAGCTGACCTATGAATTTTTTTTTAGCCTGAACCATCGGCTCAAAATGCTTAAACTAAAGTTAATAATGTTACATTCATCATACCCTTATAAGTCAATCTAAATCTTACGTCACTTCTATTGTTTGACTAAATAAAGAGATTAGAAAGCTACCTATAATTGATATAAAATTTCATCATATCTCATAAGCAAGCTGTAATGTTAATCAAACCGATACATAATGACCTATTATTTATCGGTTTGGCCAATATTGATATCAAAACATATAGTTTTATTCTAGTACATATTAGAAATTTATATTTTTATTACTAAAACTAATATCGGATTGCTACTTAAATAATTGCTCATAAGCATTTTATTTTATTAGGAGGTTAAGAAATAGCATGTATAAAAAATAATGAAAATAGAGGTGGATGCATGTAGTTAAAAAATATTTTCGTTCGAGGAAAAAAAAAAGGATGTAAGCTCTATAGAGGATAAAATAAGAAAAAATTATCTAAGATAGTATAAATTATTTGAAAGAGATCTATAGATACTATGGTTAGGCTATGTAAGTCACTTAGGATCAATGTTATATAGAAAGATAGAGGGAAACATAAGAATACTTTACTAGAATGATAAAAATTGGATGATCTTGATTTAACTAGAGATGTTGCATTATACATAGGGCTCAATAATGGAAAACATATGGCTAATCCCAAATAGTTTACACGCTCCGACTTCTTATTTAATTCAGGATCTGAGCTCCATTTGGTGCTCTGCTTGCTCCAAAAGCGACTTTTTGGACCAAACAAACAAAAAACTATCAGATTATCTGTTAGACGTGCATCTTTTGAATGTTCAGATTCATCATCTATGTTTCCTGATGATTCTCCACTCACTTATCATAACAGCTTTGTCCGCTACTTGGCTTGCTCTATTGGAGGCTTACTTGTGCTGGGTGGTCTAGTTGTTCTCTCCTGGATCGATCAAGACGATGGTCGTCATAAATTTGGACATGCCGGAGGTACCATACATATAATCTCATTCCCTGTAGCGTAGCTTATTATGATATGATGACAACCTACTAACAATCGAGGCTGGGTCTATGCAGGTTTTATTTGCCCCTTTGTTCCATTTCTTCCTGTTTGCTGCATCCTCGTTAACTCATATCTGCTGGTAAATCTTGGGTAAGTTATAAATTTTGGCATATCGATCAATAATTAATCACCTAGTCAGTATTATGGCGATTGTCACAGAAATGGTTTGAAATAATTAACTTGATGTTGGATGGCTTGTCATGAAGTCAGGATCATCAGAATCAACTCTAAACTCCCAATTTACTTTCTGATACGCAGTGCTGGCACCTGGCTACGTGTTTCTTCATGGCTATTGGTCGGGGTCTTGGTGTACTTGTTCTACGGACGAAGCCACAGCTCGCTGACTGACGTCGTATACGTGCCGGCAGCACATGTGGATGAAATATACAAGACTTCAGAAAATGTCGTTTAGAACTCATCACAACCTTGTATTATATCTTATTCATTAACGTTATCATGTCGATTAGCATTGTGGTTTGGTCATCAAGGATTCATTTCATCCCTGCATGTTTATGTAATACGACCATCTAAAACAAGCATTGCTGCTTACCTCCTACAGGAGGAATGCAAATGGTTAGAATAAATGATTGTATCAGATGAACCTGTGCTTTAATTCTGGATTGATCATCATATACTTTTCTCTCTAGTTATATTTAACCCAATTATAATGGCATGATGTGATGTTTTTCTCCAGATAAATAAAATTAGATCATGTAACAATTACATAAACTGGGGAACTCAACAGGCCAACTTCTTCTCTACAATAGCAAAATTAGCTTTTTCTTCTCCCTATAAAAAACACTACCAAAACGTGTGGAAAATGATGATGTGAATATGATGATCCTTTTTAGTAAACTGCGTGCATGTTTTGTCCACGGCTCTGCCTGCCTTTGACTTTTTCCTCCTAAAAGTTGACTTTTGACACACGCTCCTCAATCAGCACGATTGCTGTCTTTTTCTTCCTATAATTCTAACCAAAAATGCTTTTTAATGAGAAAATTCATGATTGATAGGGTCGATTAAGTATAATTTGTAAGATGAAGCAAAAAATATAATCAAAATTCATACATCTCCAATCAATCGGAGGAATGTGCACACAGCAAATGATGTGCTGCAGCAGTGTGCAACCAAAGACAAATAAATAATTTAATTAATTAAGATTTTTATTCCATCCGCAATACCCACAGTAGCAGCATGTGGCCCCCACCTTATCGGATGGTGTGTCTCGATCTGCCAGAGGAGACGAGCACTTTGGATATGCGCCACTGACACAGAGCCGTTGGGTCATTTGATTCAAATCGAATCATTGTTTATTTCTTCTCCCTTCGTCGACTGTTGATAGTTACTGCAAACTCCAATGGATGTAAATATTCTTCAATTCTTTATGTTTTTATACTATACTTTGATAATATGCATGTTTTCCCCAAAATTCCCTCACGCCACGTGGATTTGCTGCTATTTCTGATAGCCTCATCCGTCTCTCTCTCGCTCTCTCTGCAAAGTGCTCACGCTTTTCATCTCCCTTTCATGTTTGTTGCCGTCGTCCTTCTTCTTGTTGTCGATGCTGGGAAGAGTATCTCGGAAAGCTGAGCACTCGTAAAGCTTCTCCTTTGTGCTCCTGCTTCACCCAGAAAAAATCTCTTCTTTGAGCTTGGATCGCCTTGTGTTCTGCTCTTTCTTCCTTGTCCGGGCAAATTAGCGTGTTTTCTTTTGGTAGACTGAAGAAAGATTCGAACTTTCGCATAAAGATCATCACTTTCCTGGAGGAAAAGTTGGTGTTCTTGCGCTTTTTGCCATCTTGTGGTTTGCTTGTCCTTTTCCTCTTTCTTGCAGTTTCCTCTTCTTCTTCTTCTTCTTGGTGTCTCCCTTATTAATTTATTTGTCTTCGAGTATATCTCTTGGTTTTCTCCTGGTCAACTCATCCAGCTAACCGATTGGATTCCGAAGCGCCGCAGATTACCCACCCCCTTCACACAGTATCCCAATCCGGTTGCGCTCCCAATCATACATTCCTTCTTCTTCCTCCTCCATCCTACCCTGTCCCTGCAGCGACATGGCGGGGAGCCGATTCTTGGTGGTCTCGGTGCTTGTCGTGGGGCTATGCTCTGCTTTGGCCCAAGGCCTCGGGGTGAACTGGGGCACCATGGCGTCGCATCCGCTGCCGCCAAAGATCGTGGTTCAGCTCCTCAAGGACAACGGGATCGACAAGGTCAAGATCTTCGATGCCGACTCCTCCACCATGAAGGCCCTCGCCGGGTCTGACATCGAGGTCATGGTGGCCATTCCGAACAACATGCTCCGCACCATGACCGACTACGGCGCCGCCCGGGACTGGGTGAAGACGAACGTCACCCGCTACCACTTCGAGGGAGGCGTCAACATCAAGTGAGTCATCCTAACATCCATTGATTTCTCTTGTATTGGTTCTTTGCAGATCCATTGATTCTGTCCATGGTGTTGCAGATATGTAGCAGTCGGAAACGAGCCATTCCTGTCATCCTACAATGGTTCGTTCTTGAACGTGACCTTCCCGGCCCTGAAGAACATCCAGAACGCCCTCAATGATGCAGGGGTCGGTGGCAGCATTAAGGCCACCGTTCCCCTCAACGCCGACGTCTACAACTCGCCCGAAAGCAACCCGGTTCCCTCAGCCGGAAGATTCAGGACCGACATCAGCGATCTCATGACCGAGATCGTCCAGTTCCTGAACCAGAGCGGTGCGCCCTTCACCGTCAACATCTACCCTTTCTTGAGCCTCTACGGGAACCCCAATTTCCCAGTCGAGTTCGCCTTCTTCGACGGCGGGAGCGACCCCGTCGTGGACAACGGGATTCAGTACACGAACGTGTTCGACGCCAACTTCGACACCCTGGTCTCAGCTCTCAAAGGAGTCGGCTTGGGAGATCTGCCGATCATCGTCGGCGAGGTGGGCTGGCCTACCGACGGCGACAAGAACGCCAAGGCGTCCTACGCCCAGAGGTTCTACGACGGCCTCCTGAAGCGTCTCGTGGCGAACCACGGCACGCCTCTTCGTCCCAACCAGTACATCGAGGTCTACCTGTTCAGCCTCATCGACGAGGACGCCAAGAGCATCGAGCCGGGGAACTTCGAGCGGCACTGGGGGGTCCTCAAGTACGACGGGCAGCCCAAGTACAACATGGATCTCTCAGGGCAGGGACAGGCCAAGACGCTTGTGCCGACGAAGGACGTGGAGTACCTGCCGAAGAAGTGGTGCGTGTTCGATCCGAACGGTGGCGGCAACGTGAGCACGCTCGGGGACCAGATCACGTTTGCTTGCACTTGGTCGGATTGCACCGCGCTGGGCTATGGATCGACGTGCAATGGGTTGGATGGGAATGGGAACGCCTCCTTCGCCTTCAACATGTACTACCAAGTGCAGAACCACCAGGAGCTGAGCTGCAACTTCCAGGGATTGGCCACGGAGACGACGCAGGATCCCTCGACGGCCGGCTGCAACTTCACCATCCAGATTGCTACTTCTGCCGCCGATGCTCCCATGAAGCCATTGCTTGTGGTATTTATGATGTATGCATACGTTATGGCACTTCTGCTGCTGTAGTTGGAGTTGTCGTCGAAGGGTGTAAGTTGGTGTGATGGTTTTGGGTTGCTGGCCATATTTGTATGTGACATTCTTGAGGAAGTGTAGTTCTTTGGATTCATTGTTACATTTACTAATAATGGTTAGAGTGATTGGGCTCATTTACTTTGTGCTTCTTCTCGAGATAGCCAGACTCTGTTCTTATCAATGTGATTAGCATGATCTTGCAGATTGCTTGGATTAATCTCTCTCTCGCTCTCTCTCTCTCTCTCTCTCTCTATCAAGCAAAGGTGGCACTTCATATCAAGTATGCTTACATATTTCCTCAACCATTTGTTGTCTTCAACTGAGGCCAACTTGCAAAGACAGCCAATGCCATTGAAGAGGTGCCCAAATTGGTGGCAGGAGAACATGCTACTGAGCAAGTGGTTAATTTCCTCACAGAATGCATGTAGCCATCTGAAATGGAGTCTCAATTATTGATGCCATGTGAAGTGCATGGACAGATCATATGAAGAAGCTCAATTATTTCTCAATAAATGAATCTGAATGAAGAGTATGATCTGAACTTATGAAGATATCCCTCCCAATAAATAAATCTGAAGGCCAATTGGATTAGAGGACATGATCCATTGAGGTTGGTTAACATGGGATCTCCTGTAGCTTTAGGGAGTTCAATTCCATAGTTGGAGAGGCATAAAAAATTAGCCCTTCAGTTAATATAAGATTTGCTTGGCCCATAAAAAATCTTTATCCACATGTGTAGCCTAACAACGAATATAAATATAATATGTAGAGAATAAGTGAGGATAATCAAAAAAATTATAAAGGATAAATGTGATTATGAATATGTAATATTTTTGATTTAGTCTCAACAGAGTAAAATTTTGAATTGATGAATATGTAATAGTTTAACGTGTGTATTGATAGGGCACATTTTGGATCATCCTACGGGACCTGACCTTTGCCACATTAGCCCGAGCACAAAACCTCGAGAGGGAGATAAAGTCATGACAGATGTGCCATTGATAATCCAGGATGCAATGGTCATCTCCCTATGTCGTTTGGCACCGCGCCAACTAGTCTCGTCGAAACAAGGATCGTCCTGCGAAACCCGGGACGACGCCATGCGTATCCCGGACAACGAACACCCGAAGGTACATTCGTCGCTCACAAGGGTCAGTCATACGATCGACCCCCGGGAGTCATAATAAAAATCTCTCACCAGCATCTAACGAGAAGCATGAGAACATTAGCAAGCTACTTACTCAAGCTTCAGAGGGGCTCAAGTCGGAATCATTCCCATCCCGACTTAGGCTAGTGCGTAGGAATCCAGGTGTAAAAACGACGAACGAGTTCGGGGGAGAAGCGTGTCACCACCAAGTCCAATCTCGACCCACCCGATTGAGATCCTTGCCCTCAGGACGATTCTGGACGTCACCCGTTGGACCAAGCCGTGCCGGCCACACAGCTCGAGATTCGCAGAACATAGTTAAATTGAGTTTAAATGTTCTAGATCAGTTAATTATATTTTTAAAAATTAATTTATCAGTTATATTATTAGGTCATATCATACTAAATGATATCAAAACTAATTTTAATATTAAAATTTTAAGTAAATATATATCCATCACCTAAGACATATTGATACATAGCTAAACTTCAGAAACACTTATATTAGATTTTAATCCAAGATTATATTGATCGAGTATATCAATCTCTTATGTATTTAAACGAGATTAGAAGTTATTAAATTATATTGGTTTTACACCTTTATTATTTTAAAAATAATAATTTATTAAAAAAAGTGGAGGCTCTAATTCATAATTTTGTTTTTTTTTTAATTGCTAGAGCTTGTTTTGCAAAATAAAATTTATAGGATATTTTAATTTTCTCCATATTCTTCTTTCCAAAGCATTTAGGGGATTTTTTTTCCTTAATAGTCAAAGTAATTAGGTTTTAACCCTATGTTATGTTTGCGTAGATATTTCTATTTCCTAAAACCCCTCTTCTATATATTTGGCTACCTGAATGCAAAACCTTATCTATAGTTACTCTTGGGGGTCGGGGGCGAAGAATGGAGGCATGCTGTCTCTGCTCCTCCTCCTCTTCTCCAAAGCCCCATCTTTCTTTCAATATCTTCCCCAATTCTTCTCCTTTTTGTGCTCGTAGGCATCCTCTGCTCGTAAGCTTCCATCCGATACCCCTAAAAGGCCTCATCTTGTCGCCGTCCTCTCGGAGTTCCCTGCAAATTTCGCCACCCTTTGCGGTTGCCGAAGCCTTGGAACAAGCGGCGGAGACGTCGGCGTCCCCCAGAGGCGCGTCCTCGTCTAAGGTCGATAAAAGCGGGAGGTTCTGTAGCCCTAGAGCCGCTCGCGAGCTCGCTCTGTGAGTTGGAACCTCGTTTGGGTCTTAAAATTTTCTCCTTTTTTGTTTCTTTGAGGCAATTGGTGAAGAATTTAACTTAGGGAAGAATGGCGATGTTTAGGATGATCGCTTATGCTGCTTGTTTAGAAGGGTCTGATCCGGTTCGGCTCTTCGACAAGAGAGTCAATGCAAAAAGAGGCAAGCTTTCTTATAATCCATGCAGGTGCCGTTGTTTTTGGATGGTTTAATCATGGAAGTATGGTTAATCGAGAAATTTGTTCTATGATTGAATCTTTTTCTTCTTGGGTTGAATGGTGGCTGGTTATTATTGGTTTTGTTGATCTATTATACATGGTTTCCTTGGTTTTCTGCTCCCAGAGCCTGGATATGTTTTCGACAAGGCCATCCTGTTACAGTATGATCACATGAGCTTTGGTGGGGCTCCTGTTGAGGTAGGAACAGAAGAAGAGGCTGAGGGGCTGATGCTACAAAATGATAAGGATTCAGCTAATGGTAATTAGGTTCCTGAATCGTCTTACAGTTTCTTTTGGGTTTCAATTGTTGAAGCTAGTGAAACCAAATGCTTCTATTATGATTATTTGTGCATGAATTTCCTAATGATATCAGTAGGTTGTACTTTGTTGGAAGGGCATCTATTTGACAAGATAAGTGGGACAGCATCATGATAATCAATATGATCAAGATAGGTTGTGGAGGTACAATAATGGTAGGAAAGGATGGCATACATGGCTCATGATGGTCAAATTTGGCAGTGGAAGTGGTGCCTGTTAAATTGCAAGTAGTCGACATTTGTGATCATATACATGCATGCTAATTTTGTGTGGAAATTAAGGTCAAATGGCTTATATTACTACTCCAAATACAGTTTATGGTTGTAGTATATGCCTCCAAATAACTTCATTATACAAAATAAACATGTTTGTAATTATCAGCAGATGTTAGAAATTGATTCTAAATAATCTACTTCACCAAGTATCAACCAGATGCAAGTGATGAGATAATACCACACTGGAGTGTTTTCTGCATCACTGCCAAAAGTAGCTTAGTTTCAATTGGTCTACATCCTATCACATAATAACCAAGAAAGAAAGACACCTCAATCCCCATACACAATATCAAGCTTCCATGGAGGGGAAAATGTTCTCTTTGTTTCAGTTATCAAAATTTCATAGTAATTGGAGTTGTCATTTAGTAATAAATACTTGTAGGATCTGATGCTTGTTAGTTGTCTTATCGCATGATACAAACTTTTGTGGCATCAGCTTTCTTTTAGTAATTTATTTCATATTTGTTGAAACTTGAAACATTAGTCAAGTTATTCATATGACATGTTCTGTTGGTTCCTTTTACATAGTTTTCAACCATAATTCCCTCATGATTTTTTGTAATTTTCAGAAGCAGAGGTTCTATCAGCTCCTCCAAAGCTGGTCTACAACAAATTTGTTTTGCGGTGCTTCCCTCTTCCTTCAGCCTGACATTTCTCCCATTTCCATCTAGCTAAAAATCTCATGCAAGCTGCATAAATCTAACATCTTACTGATAAATTTTATGGATACAGCTAATCATGTTGATCACTAATTGCTCTTTTTATTCTTTTGGTTCACATTATCCTCAAATCAAGAATTATTGTTTATAAAGTTGATTAATGCATTTTCCAGCCTGACGAGGAATATACTGGTAGCTGTGGTTGATCGGTGGAATGATCATGTTCGTTTAATCGCCAAAGTAATTCCCCAAAATTGGAAGGTACGGTGTGCATGTCTCAAGGCTTAAGTGAGCTCTTCTCCTTTTCCATAATGACACTGGGAACATCAAACTTTGGAGTTTACAATTAACTGGCTTCATGTAATAATCCTACTCAAGTAAAGAAACTTAATGATATATTTTTTTAGGCTAACACAAATTTTGCATGCGTGAGACATCTTTGATACTTTCAGGCTTTGGTTGGCTCAAAAGATCTTTATGCATTATCATTTCTGACAATTGCAGGTTTCTTTACATTCTTTGATGGGCATCTTCATTTGTTCAATCACACAAAATATTGCAATCTGAAATCCCAAAAGTTCTTATTCTACGGCATATGCTCTTACGTAGATAAACTTGTGGAGAAATTTCTAACTCAGAAAATTGTATGTCTTGAGGTGTCTGTTGTTTGTCTTTGATAAATGTCCCTGTAGTAACTGTTCGAATCTATGGTTTGTTGTTCTTGTTACCTACATGAAATTGAGTTTGTATGTACAACGAGTAAGGCATTTTAGATACAGTAGATGAGTGCTTTCAAACAAAATGTTCTACCTTTTGTTCCATAGAACACATTAATTGTTTGATAAAATAATTAATTTAGGTATATTTTGGGCTGAGTTGTAGATTTGCAGAATCAAGCCACATATATCTAATTTAACTGGAGAAATATGATTTATTTGAAATATAGGCATTTCAATATCATTACGATCATTTGTCGGTGAACAGACAAGTTCTTGACTCTTTTGTTTAGTATTTGTGTGCCGTTCTTGGATACTACTTCCAGTTCAAAAAGCTTTTGCAATATGTCTTATCGTAGTTTGTGAATACCTTGTTGAGACCGATTTCATTTAGTTTTCTGGAATTGAACCCAAGACACCCTCCTCAATACACAATCTAAAATCGCAGGATGAGCCTGCAGCAAGAATCTTGGAACTCTGCATTCTTCACCTTGCCATGGCAGAGATAACATCAATAGGAACAAGACACCAGATCGTC